TTTTTTTTTTTGTTGTTAAAATGGATATTTCCTATTTTCTTTTCAACCTCTTTCCTTATGAATGTTGAACAAATCTAAGTAAATTAATTATCCTAAAGATAAGAAAGCTGCAGGTATCAGCCAGTTTCTAATGGGCATAAAACACCATTCATCTGTCCCACTGCCAGTATTGATTTACATGATTGTTACAGGTACACATATTTTACATATTTTAAACCACTCTTAACTGCCACTTTTAGGGCAGTTTTAGAAGGAAACAGCATCTCCACAACTGTATGTCCAATAGCTTTTTCATGACTAAAAAACTGGAAGACAAGAAACTTCTTTGGATTCTCTCAGATTAAGGAAGGTTTTGAGCATGTGGTCATTAACCTATTGTATAAAGATTGAGATGTGTCCCTCTTTGATCACCTTTCTCCTGCAGATGTGCATTGGACAGGTTCTGATAACCCCTGCCAGGCTGCTGTGCTTTGGAAGCCTTGGTTCTTAGGGAACATAAGACAACTTCCTTCTTGTTGATCATGTCACTTTTAGCTGCTCAATAACCTCAAGGTACCTCCTTCTGCTGGTGAGAAGGCAGTTTCATCAAGTGTAAAACAGACTGTTAAGCACTCAGTAAACATTATTAAGGGACTTGTAACCAATTATAGACTTCTAGCAACTGTGGGGTCAGGGAGGAGTTTGAAGAATTCCTTTACTGGCTGTAGAAGCCCAAAGAAGTCCTCTCAATCTCCTTTTAGATGCTGAAGTTCCTTTGTAGATTTTAGCATTAGCTCCCCAAGCATATGGAACTTAGGTACTTAAAAAGAATCATCTGTAGATTATATTTTGTATATCCTTGAACATATCCTAGCTCAGTTACCCACCAGGATGATTTTTAAACCACCAGTTTCTTACGCTTTGAAGTGGCGATAATGGAGCTAACAGGCATAATTAAGAAGTTATTCCAACTGTAACATACATGCAGTATTTCTTTGTTTTGTACTTGTTGCTCTTTGATGGCTGTTTTAATGAATGGCATATGCTAAGCAGTTAATTCTGTACCACTTTACACCCTTAGTCATAAATCAGCTGAAGTTCTGTCTGGCTCCTTTTCCACCCCCCTTCTCAAATACTTATTACAGTTTCCCCTCTATTTTCCTCATAACACACAGTGAGGTGCATAACCTGATTCAAGGGCTAAGTTTTAAAAAAATAATTAAATAAAATAACTATTGTTATTTAAGCTTGTACTTTCAGTGAGAATCTGACACCTAACTCAGAGCCCAGCAGCAGCTCTCTGCAAAGTCTGAATGACACTGGCTCTGAAACAAGGCAGTTTTCACTACCTTTACCCCATGTGTCTCTGTAATTGGGAAGGAATTGATTGTGGCCCTGCAGGGATTGCAGTTCCTCATTCTGTCTGGAAAAGACAACCTGGTTAGAGTGGTACCGGTGTGGGAAGTGGTAAAAGCATTCTTGGAGACAGGGAGCACTTAAAAGAGTTTATCATGTGGTGTGAGCAGTTCTGGACAGTTGTTATAAACCTTCTTTAGAATAAAAAAAACTTGGTTCATGGTGCCAAGGGAGTTTGGGTCAATAGAAGATGGAGTAGTGGCCAGTGCTACTCTTAGGTGTAAGAGGTAACCAGTCTTTTCTGTCCCTGCAGCCCCCATGGTGCCACCTTCAGATCCTTACCTGTAGCCATCTCCTTTGCCTGTCCTTTTTCTTGCCAGCCACTGGTTAATACAGCTGTTAATCACACTGGTTAATAACACTGAATATCAGATTAATCCTCCCTTCAATAGCTGTATTTCCAAATTAGGGAAGACTCTGCATTTTTGATATGCAAGAAATTATGTGTTCCTGATGTTTTCTAGTACACCTGAATGTTGTTTCCCTGCTTTGGCTGGATGGGTTTGTTTGTTCAGCTCCTCTTCTTTAACCATTGGTTTTCTGTTCATTTGCATGCCTTTTTCAATTTTCACATATGCTTAAGCTTTTGCAGCTCTGGTCATGAAGGGGTCAGAGAGGTGACTACAAGTTGTAAGATGACCTTACCAGTAACTCTTTAAGCATAAGTAATGTTCTGAAATTGCCTAAAGCAAAAACTGCCAATTCAGAGCTGATTGTAATGAATCAGGTTCTTCTATACAAAATAATGTGATCAATTTCTCATTTCACTGAATAAATAAGCTGGAAGATAGGGAACTATCTATGACCTGCTGTTAACCTTTTCCCTCATTATTCATATCAAACCTATGACATGCATGTAAGAAATCTCTGGTTCAATTTTAGCTAATTATTTGTTAGAAGTGAGGGCTCTGTGAAGTGTTACTGATTGTACAAGTACCCAGGGACCTTATGACATCTGATGAAAATAACGCCAAAGCAGCCACTCAGGCCTGTATGCTTTTTGTATGGCTATCATTATAACTAGAAATACTCTATTTCTAGGCAGCAAAACCTGTGTGTCTGTCAGTCCTGCTTCCCTCAGGTGCAAGATACTCTTACAATTCATTATAGCTCAATTATTGTTGCAATAAGGGCATCAGAGAAATAAAAAGTGGGGTATGATTGGAACAAATTCTAAATTTGTGCATATACTTTGTTAATACTTTGCAATTTAGTGTCTGAAGTGCTTTGTCTGTAAAAATTAATTTTCATTAATTAGTTGATTTTATTTTATTGGCTAGCTAGGATAAAACAAAAAACTTTGCTAGCATGTGCTGAATACAATTACTTTCACTTGATCTTTTTGGTGTAATTTATTGCTATTTTTTAAAGGTACCTTGATTTTCAGTGCAGTGCAATGTCTTATAAAATGTAGAACAGATTTAGAAATATAGGGATTTGTATAGAAATATAGAAGTTAGTAGCTCAGACACTGTACTCCCCATAGGCACAGGGTTTTCAGAATGGCCACTGATGTCACCAGTCAAATGCACAGGAATTCTGCACCATAATCTACACATAAGGCAGAATTTTTCAGCACAGTATTCCTAAGAAATTCCTGACATCCGTCCTGCAGGTGGGAAAGAGAAACCTGGTGAGTTTCATCTCTTGCTGCAATTTACACTAGAGAAATGTGAGTGCTGGAAACCTTCTAACTTTAAAATACATTATTTTCAAAGGACAGAAAAATAATTTATTCTGAATCAATGTATTAATATCTCACAGGAGAAAAAAAACAACTTTTCGAATGCCACACATAAAACATCTCTCCTTACTGATGGAATAGATACCAGGAAAATAGAATTTAAAGTTGATTGACAAAACATGAACTGTTTCATTTATAATTCACAAATTTTTGTCTTTCTAGAAATCCAGCTTATATTATAAAATATGATTCTCTGTGATACAACTTTTACATAATTTCCAGTATCTGTAGCTTGTACTGAAAACTCAGTCTCTCAGGCCAGCAAATGAAAACTTCTGAGGTTTGGGGACTGGGAGGAGTGTTGAACACTGTCCAGAGAAACTCTTTGGAGTCTTTCATTTATTTATTTATGTAGGTTTATTATTAAACATGGCTCTTTGTGTTAGGTGTTGTGGCATGAAGCAAAATGAAGTGAAAGAGAAGTGAACCCTCTCAAGTGGGCTGGATGCTACTACTGTGTGTATTTTCAGAAGAAACTGGCAACAACAGCATCAGGAATCTTTAGAAGGAACATCATGGATGATGCCTCTAATGCCTGGAATGACACTGTGTTTGATTCCAACTTTTCTCTAATTTTGCACATTATAAATAATGTCACAAGCTTCGAGGCATGGAGGTTCAGCCCCATGAGGTTCTAGCCTTGAGGGAATGTTTACAGCTCAGAGAAGAAGCCCTCAGTACATGGGTTTATCAAAAAAGTGGTGGCAGACTCCTGGCTGCGCCCAGTGCCACCAGGCACAGTTAAAATGAAGTTAGAGAGAAGACAAATGAAGGCTGCTCTCTTTCCAGCTAAGTCAGTCTGTGGTCTTCCTTGACCCTGGGGCTGGTGATTGCTGACTGGAATCTCAATGGCTATTTTCTAGTGACAATTTCAGTGTCTGAGCTCATTAATCAATTTCTATTCGGCAGAATCAGTTTGTGGAAAACTTGCAAAGGTTACTTAATCCAGAGGGAACGTGTACTGTTAGACAGAAGACTTTTCAGGCACAGCATTAAAACAAAATTTTCCAAATCTCTGTCTTGTATCACATTTTCCATGGCCATATCAGTTACTGATAGCAAAGAGCAAATCATCAAAATCATTCACAGTGATGTTAGGAAAACACAACCTCTGCCTGTGTTTTCCTTCAGAAAATAAGTCTTTCTGCATCATAAAATCCCTCACATTTCTTTACCCCATGGCTCCAGCATGAAACAGGAAACAACAGCACTGAAATAGTAAAAAATGAAAATGTGAGAGGCTTTTCTTTAACTTTGTCCAGTAATATCAGTTATCATCCAGTCTAAGAATAGGATTTCAAAGCAAATTATAGAAATCCACAATCTGTTTAAGTCCTTGAAACGTTAATCCTTGCAAACACCTGGCATAGGACTTGAGTGACTTAAAGGAATTCCCAGGACTTTGCAGCCTTGCACAAGGGTGCACACACACTATAGCAGGACACCCAGGAGGGAAAACACATATAGCAGTGGCTTGTGGAAATAAAAAGTGCTTTAGTGTTGAAGAAATTGGCTTAATACTTTCAATATGAAAGAATAAAATACTGCTTTATTTCTTAAATATGGTAAAAATATTTTTAAAGCAAAACTTCAAATATTTGGGTTTAATCTCTGTTGCCCATTGTGTGTGAATGGTTATTAGCTGGCCATGGCAATATCCTGGCAAACTGCCTCCTCAGTGAGGCACAATGCCAGTGTTTGGTGTGATTCAAAAGCTCAGTCCTGTTAGTAAAGTCATTTTGTGCTCAATGTTTTGGTTTATTTTTTCTTTTAGGGTTTTAAATTTTTTATATTTTAATATTTTCTACTTTATTGTTTCCATGTGTTTTTTCCTGTGCTTGTATGGACCTTCTCTTACAAGGGATGATGAACTGCTTTGTGATCTCTCTGGAGTGTGGAGTCTGATGGGGTAACTGGACAGTGTCAGACACAGTACAGCAACTTTGTGCTCTTCTGCTCAGACCAAGAAATGAGGTAAGGTGTGTACCACAGCCAGCTTTCATAATGCAGCTTTAAAAAAAGTGCTGTGGCCTTTCAAGACTTGAAGGGGGCGTGTAAGAAAGATGGAGGCAAACTTTTTAGAAAGGTTCCGTTTCCATATGGAAATGGGGTAATGGTCTTAAACTGAAGGAAGACTAATTTAAATTGGATATAAAGGAATATTTTTTTTAATGAAGATGATAAAACACTGGCACGGGTTGCCCTGAGATGCCCTGTCCCAGGAAACATTCAAGGTGAGGTTAATGGGACTTAAAGTAACCTAATCTTGCTGAAGATGTAACTGTTCATTGCAGAGGGGTTGGATTGGATGAGCTTTAAAGATCCCTTTCAACCTAAACAATTATGTGATTTTAAGACCACATTGGTCTTTAATTTTGTTTTCCTTATGGAGAAAACCCCACAATTGTTTCTTTCCTTTACCTGAACTTTTCTTGGATTAAATTTTTTCTGGGGCCTGATCAGTTTTTCTGCCATGCTGCTCCTTGGCAGATCCCAGAATCCCAGACTCACTAAGGCTGGATCACCTCTGGAGACCACCCAGTCCAAGCCCTTGGGATGTCTCCAGAGAGGGAGGCTCCCTGCTCTCCCTGGGCAGCTGTTCCAGGGCTCTGCCACCCTCAGGGTCAAAAAGTTCTTCCTCATGTTGAGGTGGAATTTGTTGTGCTTAGTTCAAGCCATTGCTCCTCACCTGTCACTGGCACCACCCCCTTGGCACCCTGGACATTTGCTCTCAGCAGAGCTGATTTGAGAAGTGCAGTCAGAAAAGACAAAGAAGATGGCTGGAGTAAGTCCCAGATTTACTCACTCCACAAGATGGCAAATTTGTGGGGTTACCTTTGTTTATGCAAGGATCTGGTCTGAGGTCACTTCCATGGAAGGTTGTGTGTTGCAGAGGTTCACATCTGCCACAGGATATGCCTGGGTCCCTCCTGGGTATTTAGCACGGTATGAAAATGTGGGGAAGGGAAGGACTTTTCTGTACTAAGGACCAGGGTAACTTGTAGGAGGTACTTAAATGTGGAGACAGCAGTGAATTTACAGAGGAGTCCAGGCACAAAAATGGAAGTCTGGTCATGAACTATCCAGAGAAGAATCCTCTTTGGAGTTGATAAACTCTTACACATCATTGTGTGATTTCCATAAACATGTTCTTCCATCAGGTTGTTTTGGTTTTTTTTTAACAGCTTACTCAGGTAGTTGCTCAGTCATGTGTGTTTTTCATGGAAAATAATTCTTTGTTTTGCAAATTTTTCAAGTATATTAACTAGTGGTAATCTTAAAGTCAGGAAGATACTCCTCTTTATGTCATTTCCATCTGTACATTCAGTTTCTGATGGACTCCTTAAATATTAATAGCAATGAGCTGACGCAGAAGTTGGTGTATTAGTGTCTAGAAAGATTTATTTTTCATGGCAAAGTTTTACAAGGAAGACTATTCTGTAACTCTCTGCACAGATACGCATGGATGAGTGGATTGCAAGTGTTACTTCCACAATTGGTTCTGGAGGCATTAGCTAGCAGGGTGACTGTGCCCTTTTCCCACACATGTTTGCAATGATCTCGTTGCAGCAGCATTGCTGGAGATACTGAAATGAGCTGACTTTGGGAGTGTTTCCTGAGTTTAAATTCCTTGACTGTAAAGCAATATCCTAACAGTTATATGCTACTCAATGGCAGAGGGAAAAGGGGAAATGTGATTGAGATATGCATAATGATTCTGATTTTTTGCCACTATCTTGATAAGCTGCAGCCACATCCCACAGCTGTATCTCTGCTGTCGGCTTAGAAAGATCCTGATTGTGATGTTTATGCAATTTCCTGTTAGTGAAAACACTTCTTACCGTGTTTTCAGCAAAGCAGTGTTGATTCAGGGGGTGGCACGACTAGAACTTTACCTGTCCTATTGTTACCATAATTCAGCTGTAAGCATACAGGTTGTTACTGGTTGATTGGTAATTTTTGAATTTAAATTTGAAATTAAAATTCCAGCCAAGATCCCTGTTGGTCAGTGCATGTTTAAAGCAGTTTAATACTTCAATATAGGCAAGAGCAGTTTCTGCTGGCTGCTGTTCAGGAGAACCAAGGCCTCAGATTCCCTCTGGCTCTCTCCATGCTTGAAAATGCAAGTTCCACCGCTCCTCCATGTAATAAACACAAGGCATACCAGATGCAGACTGGAAATTGGCTTTTAATGATTGATATTGCTTGTGTGAAGCAAGGATGCTGTGCTGAATATAGAAGTGCTGTAAGAGCATCACCAGCAGCACTGAACTATCACAGACATGTCGTTGGCATGAGTATTTAAACTCAACCTCACTGAGAACTTAAGTTCTGGCATTCCATTCCCTTGGATGTAGGTACCACCTTCATCAATGGCAATTAAAATTAAGTAACAGAGGAATCAAAGAAACCAGACTAAAACCCATCTATTTCTATCAATTTATGTTGCCTTCCATAGGTGGGGAAGCTAATGGTGCTAACTGAGGAGAAGCTGAGCTGGTGCTGTGCCAGCAGGGCTCTGTGCAAACCCTGTGGGGACTGCTTTGATAGCAACATTAAAGGCATTTGCCTGTTGATAGCTATGTTGAAGGCATGTGCTCCATCAGACATTAGGACTCATTGATCCAACTATATTTTAAAAAGTCATTCTTCAATATCTGCAAGGATCTGCAAAGAGATTCTTGCAGATATTGCAGATTTCTCTGCTCTAGGCAGAGCATCCTCCTTTTGAATGAGTGTGGGGCATTTGCTGAAAGCAGCATCTATTTTATTTTTAGGCAGACCACCCCTCTCTAAAATGAAAAATAATTATTTACAAACAGGATTGTACCACAGCTGAGGGTCAGACAGGATTTTGGAGAGGTAGTTAAAACCTGGCTTTGTAATATATCTGGCATAATCAACTCCATTGCATAAAAATACCCAAATACTTCATTTCTTTCTCATAGACTATCTTAATATGTAAAGCCTTCCAAAATTTTCCTGTTCAAATCCAAGAACAGAATCTAATTGCATTTCTGTCCTATGTCTCAGTGCAATCTGGAATGAATAAAAAACGAGAGAAAAATTTGACACACAGTATTGAGATGCCAGGCAAAGCTCTGGAGGGCAGAACAAAAGGAGAGGAAGCCCAAGAATTCCAGCCATGGGAACATCTGTACAAGAGCAGTGCAGCAGACGTGCCAGGTGCTGCTGTGGTGGTGCTGGACACGTGGGCTTGGGGTGCACTGGTGTCTCTGGGGCCATCACATCCCACAAGGCTGGTTAGAGGAAAGTATAGATGTTCTTTGTAGTTCTCTAAAAGCACTTGCAAATACAATTTCTGCTTTACATATAAGATAATAGCATTATATATAGATCGATGTTCTGTGTTTGAATGCCAGTTTTCTGAAAATGCAAGTCTTACACGTATGTTCCTTGGCCTTTGGGGCATGTTTAGAATGAACCTCTTTACTTCTACTTGTTTCACTTGTCTTTGATAAAAACACCTCATGTCTGAAATGTATTATTTTAGAGTACAGTTTTTATTTGAATTCTGAAAGTATCATTTACCCCTGGTACTCTAGTATACAGTGAGATAAAGTCACACTCCTGACTGGAATCCTGTCTCACAAAATTCTGAGGCAAGAATGGCTATTGCCATTGCTTTTAAGTTTCATATAAAAAGTACACAATTGTCATCTTGATCATTCCATTTGCTACAGTGGCTTTTTGGTCCCACTGTACCCTTTAGCTGGAGGAGGAGGTAATTTTATGAAGTATTTCCTGGACTTGCCTAGGGCACAGCCTCAGGCCCTAAAAGACATTAATTAAAATAGCAGATTCTATTCCCGTAGAGACAAACAATGTGTCTAGACTGACTAAATGGCACCTATAGCCTGCTTCCTAAACAGCACTCGGACAAGTAAGAGCAGTAATTTGTAAAATTGGAATTGATCTCTGAAATATAATCCAAGAGTAGAAAATCTCAGCATAGAAATTCTGGATATACTGTGTGTTGCAGGTAGGACTAGTTCAGAGCCACACTTTATTCGCCATAACCGCTTTTGGTGGACTAAATATTTGAAAATTCACCTTGACTGCAGTATCAGGATGTCATGCAAAGCTTTAGACAGCTGAGCCAGAAAAAAAAAAATCCAAAAGTACAACTGAATGGTTTTTAAACTTTTTCAGTGTCTGAAATAATGAATGTCATGTTCTCATTTGAAAACAAGAGTTAAAAAAAAACCCAAAATAAAAACAACCAAAACCCCAAAACAAAACAAAAGCACAACAAACTAATAAAAGAGGTAAAATTCAATTTTAAAATTAAAATTTCTTCACTGTCTCTATATAAGAACCATACTTTAATCATTTCATATATCTAATTTTTCTAGAAGTTATTTTATTTTGCTGAGAAAACAGATATTTCAGTTCTTGTTGACCAGTGTCTAATGGGAAACTCAGTGGCTCACACAGTTGCAGGCAGAAGAGTGGGATTTGACTCTCAGTAGGAACTGTTTTAATAAACAAAATTGCTCTTAACACCATAATGCTGTTTGATATTTCATGAAAATAAAAGCAAATATAAAGTGTGTTTGAGTCACTACCATCACACGAAATTCAAAAGATGTTCTCTGATACAACTGCCACTAATGATTTAAATCCCCTTTCTCTGGTCCTGTAAAGAATGAACAATAACTACCTACTGTCACTGAATGCTGTTATACAGGTGAACAGTAATTCCTGGGCACATGCTGGGCTGGAGAGAGATTTTAATCCTTTTAAGGCTTGGTGTGGGTGATCCATTTGTTTGGTACTTGTTGCACACACAGCAGCAACAGAATGTCAGTTTTCACAAGCCCTGAACTCTGGTGGTCTGATGTATCAGAAATATCAAATATGTAACCTAAGTAGCATTTAATTGTCAGAACACTTTGTTTATTTTCAAATAATTGTCTCAAGTTGTAGTGCCTAAAAGACAGTTCGGCTTT